TCTTTCTCCCGCTGCATTTTCTCACAGCAAATGAGTTTAAGGAACATCCTTTTAGCTGCTGAAAATCTCCAGAAGTTCAGTTTAAAGGAGCTGTTTGAGTGACAAACATGGCCAAAAGATTTCCTGTTGGAATTGAAATGGGAAAACACTCCCTGGCATGTGGAAGAGGAGGTTCATTTGATTCACAACCTGTTCATCACCAGGTGATGACAAGGCAGCCTGGAAGAGCAGGCTGAAGAGTTGGGAACTGGTCCCATCCATCTGCTCAGGTGCCCAGCAGGGATGAGCCTGGCACCAATGGCATTGGCATTGCTTTCCTTAGCAGAGGGATTCCAGGGACTTCTAATGAAGGGATTCTATGGAACACCTGAACATTGAATCATGGAATGGTTTGGGTTGGAAGGACCTTAATGCTCATCTCATTCCACCCGTGTCATGGGCAGGGACATTTTCCATTAGCCTGGTAGAATTGCTCATCTCATTAGGTGGAATGAGATGAGCTTTAAGGTCCTTCCAACCCAAACTATTCCATGGTTCCATAACTCTAAAATCAATTTCAAGTGCCAAATGAAAACTGTGGTAGAAGTTTCTTCTTTCCAACTTGTGTTTGTTGTATATCTTAGTGTTGGAGGTCTCATATCCCACCAAAAAATAAGGCTTGGGATTTTAAGGCTTTTAAATAGGGACATTCTCCTTCCCTTCATTAGGATATGGATTGGATTTGATTCCTTATCTCAAAAAAACCCTTTAAGTGACGTGTTAAGTACTTAGAATGTGAGCAGAGCAGAGCAAAACTAGGAATTCCTGCAGCCTTCCTGAGCATCCAAGGGAGTTAACGAAGACAAGTTAGGCTGCCCTGAATCTTCATGGAATTATTATGTATAAAGCCTGAAACTCATAAGAATATTATATATAACTAAAGGATATTACATTGCATGACAACAGATTCCATATAACAAATTAAGTGAGAGATACATAGGCTGATTTTTCAGCTTTCTATGTCCTGTCCATACCAACTTCTGGTTTCTGGGGGTAGAGGTAGAAACCATTTGACCCAGGAGGCCAAGTTGGAAGGCAATAACTACATGCAGGCATCAAGTTGGCTCGAAGAATCTGCATCCTATGACCATAAGTGCATGAAGACTTGTCCAGCCCTCCACTACAGGACAAATGCAGTGCCTTGGCCATGGAAAGCAGAACATCACCTACTTACCTGCCACAATAAACATGATGCCAGAGGTCAGAGTCATGTTAGCTTTGGCTGAGTCCTCCATACTGCCAATTCGCACACACTTCATAGCAAAAACACACACCAGGAGGCCAAGGATGCCCAGGACGATGCCCACAATCATGAGGGCCCTCACAGCCTGGAACATTGCTGCAAAACACAGTGAGAAGCAAGTTGAGTGACTGAAATGAGACCCACCAGAGCCTGCAGGGTCATAAGCTGAGACATAGTCTCTCTTGGCATGGCTGCAGGGAGAGGACTAGAGGGAATGGCCTTGAGCTGAGACAGAACAGAGTCAGATTGGATGTGAGGAGAAATGTTTCCCTGTTAGAGTGTTCATGCACTGGAATATTGCCCAGGGAGGTGGTGGAGTCACCATCCCTGGAGGTGTTTAAGAGGTGTCTGGATGTGGTACTGGAGGATATGGTTTAGGGTTTAGAGGTTCCAGCAGTTTAGAGTGACAGGTTAATGGTTGGACTTGATGATCTTAGAGGTCTCCTCCAACCTTGATTACTCTATCCATGGCTTTGTCTGGAAGTATTAAAGAAGCAAACCTTGGCAAATGGGCACAGGATCTCCACTCCAGGCTTAACTGGGACACCTCTGGGAATGTGGCTGTTTGCCTCAGCTTCCCAAAGGATTTGGTGGCTTAGACAGAATCTTTTGTGACTCATTCAGCTGAAACTCCTGGAGAAGAGTTAGTTTGGAGTTGGGCTAAGCATGAATCATTTCCTAACCAAATTGAATGAGAAAATGCTCTGGTTTTTCCCTCCCCAACCAGTACTGGAAGCAGCTAGCTTCCCCCAGCTCTCCATGCTATTCCCAACTCCTGCCTGACTCCCAATGGACTTCTGTGAGAAGTAAACCACGTGGCATAGGAGAAGAGGAAAATCACCTGGACAAACAGAGTAGGAGAGAGTAACAAAGCTTTGGCAACCACCTCCCTCCCCACATCCTTCCCATGGGTATTTGTTAGTGCTGTCTAAACCTCTCCACGGTCATTACCACAAAGCACAGAGAGCTCAACCCTGAAGCTGTTCAGCAATGCCATATGGTGGGAATGACCCAGGTTGGGATATTGGTGGGTCATTCCTGGGGGACGTTGAGTGCTGAAGGGAGCAAAACCCCTCCAGACTCCTTTGGGATGGAGGAGACAAGTAGAGGGAAAATCCAAGAGAGAAGTGGAGGGGGAAAGGAGATGTGAATACCAAGGTGAGGTTCTCATAAGGTGGCACAGAGCCCATCGTGCTACAACCCAGGACTGGCCCCAGACAGTTCCCCTCCAGGCTGTGCAGAAGCCCCTGGCAGAGACAGGAAGGCAACAGAGCATGAGAAGGAGGTGGCTCAAAGTATTTCAAGGGCTGTTGTGCTTTGGCTGTGCTGCTTTGCAGCCTCTTCTTGCCCTCCATGCCACAGTCTCCCTGGGCAAACTGGGCCAGTGTCTCACCACCCTCACAGGGAAGATCTCAATTTCCCTCTTTCAATTTCTCCCCATTGCTCCTTGTCCTGCCACTGCAGCTCCTCCCACAAAGTCCCTCTGCAGCTTCCCTGAAGCCCCTTCAGATCCTGGCAGGTGCTCTGAGGTCTCCACACAACCTTCTCTTCTCCAGGCTGAACAGCCCCAACTCCCTCAGCCTGTCCTCACACGGGAGATGCTCCAATCCTCTTAGCAACTTCATGGCCTCCTCTGGACTTGCTCCAACAGTTCCATGTCCTTCTGATGTTGGGGGCACCAGAACTGGTTGCAGAACTCCAGGTGGGTCTCACCAGAGCAGAGGGGGAGAATCATCTCCTTTGCCCTGCTGGCTTTGCACAGCTTGGGAGAAGGGTCTATAAACCTTCCAGGAGGGCAATGCTGAATGCCTGTGTGGGTCTCCTTGCTTGGGGGGTGCTCTGAACCCAAGCAGCCTCACAGTGACACCACAACCCAGTTAGAAGCAGGAGATCTGCCCTCTCACAGGCTGAGAACACACCACCTTCTCCCACCCAGCCATCCCACCAGAGCTGCTGCTGCTCTTATGACTCAATTTGCCCTTATCAGCTGATAACAAGTGCTAACGAGCTTGGGCTTTTCAATCTGCCATTCATCAGCCCCAGGTGAGAGCTCAGCAGTTATTATTCAGCAGAGAACAAGCCCTGGGCGGATGTGTCTTATCAGCCTCAAAGGTTGTTCTCAGCACCTGATGCGAAGCAAAAAGCTGCAAAGAGAAGAAAATCTCAATCCTCGTTTGTCTTTAGAACCACTAAAGTTGCTTTGTAAATGCTTTTGTGCCCAGGCAGGCAGGAGAGGCTGATCACTCTAGAAAACTATGGAGCATGGTGGAGGCTCCTCAGCCCCAAGACAGAACTTCATCCCTGGCTACTTCCTACAGACCTTAGAGTTCCCGTGGTGTTTCCAACCCATCAAGAAGTGACCCTAAGTGAAGACCTCACAGAGAGATTGCTGGTTCCCAGTGCCTTGGGTGCCCATGGA